ACCCATAGCGACCCTGTACAGGGTTTCCGAGGGTGTAAATCTTTACGGGAGTAGAAAGCCTCATCTTTCTCCCGCGGAGCAGCTGGTAGTTTCGAACCACTGACCTTACGATTTGCAGCCCGATTCGTAACCACCAACAAACAATGGGTTAAAAAAATAGAAACCAATGGAGAAAACATGATTGTAAATTTGTTAAAGACAGAAAGACAAGCAACTCCTCTTTTCTATAATTAACCTTGTTTGGGATACATTAATCATTTAGGATATTGGATGGCTGGTTAAATCTCTTTAAGAAGGCTCTTGAGGAAACCTGGATTCTAAATAAAGCTGCATCTGATTGGGAAAAATTACTTTATTACTAAATTACTCACTTTCCTCATTTATAAAGCAGACATTCTTCTTCTACTTCTTGAATTGGAAGGGATGACAATTTCTGTTAAGTTTAGCTTAGATGGAAGCACAAATGATGTAGTCTTTTAACGATTTGTCTATTTTGTTTCCCCTCTCTAGTGTTAACTGTTAATCTGATTCTTAGTGAAGTTTAAAGGAAGTTGACCCATTAGTAGAGTATATACCACCAGGGAAATAGCACTTTCTTCTGAGGAATCTTCATGATAATATTTCCTCACTTTAACTCCCTTTCTCACTTTTCATAAGTCAGAATTAGCAATTACCTTATACAGCATCTGCTCCAAGTCTTTAAGTTTCTGCCGGAGAGCCTTAATATCTGTCTTAAAGCCTTCTACTTCCAAGATACGTCGGTTCTCCAAGGCCTCGTAGCGTTTTGTCATTACCTGTAAACGCTTCCCCATCTTGTTAGTGCGATCCTAAATATAGGGAAGTGAGATGGCATTTAAGAAGATGAGGGAGGCATTCCCTGGAGCTAGCTATACTTCCCACTCCATCAGAAGTGACAGAGAATTTTGTACCTTGAAGATCTCCCTCCTCACGCCTTCTTCCTCACGAATTCGGGCAAGTTCTTCTTCTAAAGAAATGCACTGCTCTTGGTACATGTTAGAAAGTTTTTTCTCTTGTATTAACTTATCCTTCAGGGTCTGCAGGCCAAAAGGGGGAAACCACCCGTAAAATATTGGTATCAGTTTTACAATATATGTAATTCAAATATATTTAGGTGAAAAGAGAAAGATAAGACTTCCAGAAATACAAGATGAGTAAAGGAGCAAGACAGCAAGAAGCTTGTGTAGGGAACATTTCTTAGCCCATTTTCAAAAGTGGACATAAATTGTTTAAAATAAAACAGGCATTTTTGGCTCTTGAAGATGGGAGTTGAAAATTTGTCCCAAGTACATCTTGGGGTACATTTCTAAAGTTCTTTAAGAAACATCAATACCACCACCTATTTATTATCTAAGCTCCACTATATGCCAGATCTTTTAAAAATCTAAATCACATCATGCTACTACTTTGCACACATTCCTTATCATGACCTATAAAACCTTCTGTGATTGGCTACTACCTGCTTCTCACACCACTTCCTTCTTGTTTATTCCTCTACAACCACACCAACATCCTTCCTGTGCCTTGAATATACTCCAACACCTTTAAACTTGCTCTTCCCTCTGCCTGGATTGTTCTCCCCTAGTTCTGCTGGTCAAGTTTGAGGTCTTGGTAAAAATGCCATTTCTTAAGATTTAAGAGAGTGTGCCTGTTATTGCCTTTAAAAAGTTGGCTTCTAGAAACTACTTTTCTTTATATAATCCTATTTAATTCCTTTGATACCATTCTTTTTTTTAACTTGTGATTTTCTTATAGGTATTTGATAAATAGTAATATTTTTTCTGCCCTATTAAAATGTAAACTACAGAGCCCTGGATATCCACAGACAAATGTAAAAACCT